TTCCAGCTGTAGTTTAAACGCTCTGCCTCAAAGGTCCGACCTGAAACCGTTCCAGCTGTAGTTTAAACGCTCTGCCTCAAAGGTCCGACCTGAAACCGTTCCAGCTGTAGTTTAAACGCTCTGCCTCAAAGGTCCGACCTGAAACCGTTCCAGCTGTAGTTTAAACGCGCTCTGCCTCAAAGGTCCGACCTGAAACCGTTCCAGCTGTAGTTTAAACGCGCTCTGCCTCAAAGGTCCGACCTGAAACCGTTCCTGTTTCTCTCTGGTTTTAGGATGAACTCCAGAAATGGAACGAAGAGCATGGGTCAGAGGAAGAAATCCCAGAAATGTTCCTCCTCTGAGGATGAAAATAACTTTTCCAAAGTGGCGAGCGGCGGGCCACGGCGGCAGGCCACGGTCAACGTCAGCTACAAGGAGGCTGATGAGATGAACACAGACTCTGATGATCTGGTGGAGGTGCTGGGTGAAGATGTTCCTTTGCCTGAGGAGGAGGAGTTTGAAACCATTGAGAGAGTGATGGAAAGCAGGCTGGGAAGAAAACGAGGTAAGAACGCCGCCCACCTCGCTGCCATGGTGATGGGTAGATCTGATGCCGCTTCTGCTTCCTCTCCAGCTACAGGCAGTGCTACCACCGTGTACGCCGTAGAGGCCGACGGAGACCCCAACGCCAACTTTGATCCCAGCAAGGAGGCCGGCGAGGTCCAGTATCTGATCAAGTGGAAGAACTGGGCGCACATCCACAACACCTGGGAGACTGAAGAAACACTAAAGCTCCAGAATGTGAGGGGCATGAAGAAGCTGGAGAACTTCAAGAAGAAGGAGCAGGAGAAGAGGAAATGGTGAGATTCAGACTGCTGGCCTGGTCTCCTCTGGCAGCTCAACCAGGCGCATAGCTCAGCCTATCATCCTCCTCCTCCTGGAGGTGGAGCCTCGAGGCTGGACGCCATAGCCCCATTTCCACTACCCTTTAGAAACCGTGCTGAGATTGGCCTGAGCACGGTTACCAAGGTAACAGAGTGTGAATGCCACGCAGAACTAAACCGGACTGTGCCAGACACAACCGAACGCCGTGGCAACAGTGGCGTCGGGTGTAGGAGTTTGACCTGAAATCGAAAGGGTTGACGGCGCCGTCTTTCAGTGTCGTTGTGTCCTTGGGCAAGACACTTCTCCTGCATTGCCTCCTAATGGTGGTCAGTAGGTGGCGCCAGCGTATGGCAGCATCACTTCTGTCAGTGAGCCCCAGGGCAGCTGTGGCTACAGTGTAGCTCACCACCATTGATGTGTGAGTGAATGTAGTGTAAAGTGCTTTGCAGTCTCCCGCCTTAGAAAAGCTCTATACATGTGCAGGTCATCAGTAGGACTCGCCGCCGTTCAGTTCTGGCTCGGTTCTCTATGAGCAGACCATTCATCTCCTTACAGCCAGCCTCCATAATCATTCCTAAAATCCTAGCTTCCTACCGCGCCGCACGATTTCCAGGGATGATTCTGCTTAGCAGTGCGACGAACCTCAACATCTGTCGTTTCCCTCTAGAGAGCTGTAGTACCGTAGATGGCCACTAGGCAGTGAGGACCCGTGCTAGCGTGGCGTGTTAAGGCTCATAAGGAAC